TCGGGGTGACTGCGGCTGCGTATCCCTTTCTCTTAAAGCGGGTGGTTTCCTAGAAAATACCAAAAACCGGGGGTCCATCTTGAGCAACGCTTTGGCTTGTTCTCGATAGGACAAGCGAGAAGGCAGCGGCTCCTTCTTCTATGCCGAGAGTGGCAAGGTCTTTGTGGGCGAATGGGTGGAGGACCTGCCGAAGGCACGGCGACGTCCCTCTTTTGGCATGTTCAAAGGGGCCAGTTTCTGCGATGCCAAATGTCATGGGAATCAACCACTTTGGTGGCACAAAACATGCATGTTCGACAATCATGAAATCAGGGGGCGGGGGTGGTTGTCATCCTTAGAATAGGATTTTTTGTTCAGGGGGCCATCTTTTAGGTATAACGGGAGACCAACACTTTGGTGCATTTTGCTTGGATGTTAAGACTTTAACTCTTTGCCAACTAATGGGGTTTCCATTAAACCACTAAGAGTTCAACTTTTAACAGGAAGACAAAAAGCAACCGAGGGTGCTCCCAAAGGGATTTTCCTTTGCAGCCACCAATAAAAATGGGCACTCTCGAAAAGCAGGTACCTTCCCGCCTTTTGCTTTGAGACCCCTTTTTGGTTTCGGTTTCTCTCTGAAACCAACCAAACAATTGGGTACCAGTCCCCAGCCAAAGCCCCCAAAACTTGCGCTCCGACCAGGCAGGGGTCTACGCCCAAGCGGCCGCCCACCCGGAACAGGCCACCCCGGTGCCCGAGACCGCGCCGCTGCCGAAGCTGCGCTTAAAAGCCCCGGACCAGGCCGCGGCTCGTTTTTTTTTTCCTCCCGGAGCCGGCGGATTTGGGCGGAGTTTGGGCGATGAAACGTGCGGTGGGTGGCTTGTGCTGTGTTGTGGTGTGGTGTGCGGTGTGGTGTGGTGTGTGTCAATTTGTTGGTGGGTCTGTTTGGTTGTTTTCTGGTGAGGCCTTAGGAGCTTACACTCGGGGCGGATTGATGGGCCGATTCGCCAATCCTAGCTTTGGGCGGGTCTGCAGGTTTGGGAAGGCTCTCCAGTATCTTTAAACGTTTTTTTTTTTTTTTGCAAGGACATCTATCCCTACTGGAAATATGTTGCAGGGGACGTATTTGTAAATGGATGTTGGCCAATGCTGTTGGGGATGCTTGGTGGGCTGATCGCGCGGGCAGGGGTGCTTTGGGGGACTTGTGGGTTGTGTTGTTCTGAGGGTCTCTGGGCGTTTCAGGGAGTGTTTTGGAGTTTGTCCGGCGTGTTCGGGAGTGTTTTGGGGTGGTGGTGGGTGTGCATGTGTAACAGTTTGGCTATTCTTTTGTTGGGCTGGCGGGGAGGGGCGAGTTGGCTGCTTGAGAAAACTGAAATATGTGCTTCGTTCGGTGGTTAAGTAATATGCCGCTACGATTAGGCTAGATGAACCTGAGTCGGACGAGGATTCGTGTGCTTGGCGACTCCCAGATACGAACAGGACAACAGCTGGTTCTGGCTAAATGCGCCACACAACAATTCGTGAGTCGGCAAAGCTGCTTGCTTTTGGTGTGCAAGAACAGCAGCTCCATTGTCAGAGAGTCATGGGGACGATGGCCGCTGTGTCACCTTTTGGCAAAGCAACATTGTGGACAAATGATGCTATTGAATAGAATGTCGCCGATGGCACAAATCGGGGCAAAGCTGAGCGTAGAAGACCGTCACGATTGCAGGATGCCGGTTGCTGTATTGGGATTTGTTGCGGCAGTTACTGGCTTGCGCACGGTTCTCGCCGTGTCATCGGTGTTGTTTAGAAGGAATTCATGCAAATGACCAAAAAACACGATGCCTAGAACAACAAACGGACAAGATACCTGCAACATTAGGGCGAGCAACTGAGAGTCCAAGTGTAGGATATGGGTGTGTGTTTTTCTGTGGGTAGCCTTTTTCGGGGTTGTCAAAGGAAACCTGAAAGCCACCATTTTGTGGGGTCCCCTAAAAGACACGCCCATCCCCTTTGTTCATGCCCGGTTCTTTTGCTAATCCATCAACTGGGTAGCTTTTGAGAGGGTATGAATGGCACGCCTGCATTGCTTTCAAGGTACAGAGAGGCCATTTCACTTGTTCTGTTTTAGGAAACCCTTCGGTTGCTTTGGAGCTGAGCTGCAATGAAAGCCAAATCGTTTGGGGGCCGCCCATTTTTTCCACATACCCCCCTCACCGGATTTGCCAGCCAAAACCTCACGACACGCAGGTCCTAGATGAAGCCCTGGACGCTGCCCGCCAATTGCAAGGCTTCAGCAACTTGGAAAGTCCGAATTGCCCAGATACCCAGTGCTTTGTTTTCCCTTTGTTTCGGGGGTTTTCCCTTCAAAGCCAAGACTTAGAACAGAGTGTCCCGTACATGGTGTATATATTCTCCAAAAATCACTAAGCATCCCAAGTCCTTTGACTATTTTATGGTCCCATTTGAACGAATGGGAGTGCGGCTAGAAGAAGACCGAATCAAATCGAATCAATCTGTTCAATGACAACTTCAGATTGTTCTGGAGGACTATACTAATCACAATGGTTCCCATCTTAGTGGGGGATTCAATCATTTTAGGGACCTATGGCCCGATTAATCCGATATCAACATTACTCGCTATTGAGAGCCGTTAAGATTCCCAAAACGTTTGGTCATTTCAGGATCCCTAGAACAAATCGGAGAAACGCAGCTAGATGGATGCCCAGGTGCCCCGTTTCCTTGTTGGTGCCTTGGAAATCAGCCACCAAGTGTCCTTTTTGCTCTGAAAGCAATGCGTTTCGCGGTTCACCCTGCATGATGCCGGGAACCTGAACCCCGATTTCAGTTGAGTTGCTCGGAAGCGAAGACGAAACTAGGCCTCGTGTCGTTTGATTCCCAGGAAATCCGATGTCAAAGCCATGTTCAAGACACTGGGATTGGATTTTTGACACTAGATATCCATTCTGTGTGTGGGCGGGCGGCGTCCCTGAGTTTCTTCAGCTTTTTGTGTGGTGTGACCAGGTGGTTGTTTGTTGCTTGACGGTTTCTAGGCATTATCAAAGTCGGAACTTGAGGTTGTTTCCCTTTAAGCTACCACTCAGGGGGGGACTTTGACAAAATGATGGGGCCAGTTTACGTCCCCAAATCAAGGAAGTTGAGCATGAACATACCAACAGTCACCCTGAATGACCCAGGCTGTCTGAACTCGCGGGCTCATCCAACCACCTAATGCACCCAGCTTACCCTCAAAGGACCCTTCCGATTCCCGAAAAAAACATATTTCCTGTGTGGGAGGGTCTCAGCGGATTTCGGACCCCTTGGAGCTGATATTCAAAGGGAAACCAAAAGGAAACCAAGCATTTTTGGCGACCCTTATATGGCAAAACACCCTTGGGGGTGCAAGGGAAATGAACGGAGGCTGTGGGCCTGTTTTCGCTGGGACGGCCAACCTCTCACCAGTATCCACAACTTGCTTCAAGAAGCACTTTCGGCGCTCCTTCACACGGCTGGTCTTTGGTGTGACCGAATCGCCCCAGAGAGATCTTTTGGAACAAATGTTTTTCCATCAAAGCTACGCAAGGGTGATCGACCTTTGCTCGGGCCTCGGAGCAACGAAGTAAGAAGACGATCTGGTGCAGAACGGGGCAACTTAGGACACGGCAGCCATGAACAGAATTTGACATGGTGCTCATCCCAGTTTTCACAACGATGCATCCAGTTGTGGCACGAACCTGATTGTGTCTATCCACAGGTGGCAATTTGGCGCATGTAGCATGGGGTTCCCCTTTTCATGGATTAGTCAATGTAGCCTCAACCCAGTTGCCCAAAGCCGACCTTTTCACCTTTTGGTTTCTCCTTTTTGGTCTAGTTGTAGTCATGGCCCCAAAAGGTTAACCTTTTATTTCTGGGTCCTTTGGGCAAGTGAGTCGAAATTACAAGCTTGAGGAACTCTGAGCACATTTGCTTCGTTCGGAGCCAACTTTTGAACGGAGCTGCAGGCTATGAGGAGACGGTGAATGAGAGTGACCTGTTTCTTGCACAGGAAGATTTCGACTAGTAGTTTGCCGGACCACCCAAGCGCTTTGGGTTGTTCCTTGACCACGCTTTCACTAGGTCCCCCAGTAGTGCCCTTTCTCACCCATTTTTTGGGGGAGGGTTCCCCTACTAAAACAGACTACAGAAAAAGGTTGACACCCTTATTCTAACCTCTCTACTGAAGGACCTAGGCATTGTGCAAGCTCTCAGCTTTCTTCGCGCGCCTGAGGCGCGCGATTCTGGCGCCACCAGTCGGTTTGAAACCACTCGGACGGCAAAGCCATTTTCACCAAGTGTAAAACGTGGGGAGAGGAATCGGTCGCTTCCTTCCTGAGGGATACGGTTTCACGCAGGCCTAAGCACGACACCGGCCAATTTTTGGTTTCAATCTGGGCTCTGCACGAGTTGTTTAACACACATTTGGTGCCAGGGTGATTTTTGTAGGGGGGGCGGGGGGGGGGGGGTAAGGGCGAAGATGTGGTGTTGCTTGTCCACCTGGCTTTTTGTTGGGTGGCTTTGCTGGCTCAAAGCTTCAGGGACTCGCAGTAGTATCTCCACCAAGGAGGCTTTTTCCAATGGCCGAGTTCATGGACTTTTTTTGGCCAGTCCACTCAGGAAGTGGGTGGATGTGGACTCTCAAGAGGACTTGGCTCTCCCAACTCCTTCTGCGCACCCCAAACAAAGGGACCCTTCCCATGTTCGCTCTGTGCGTAGATTCGGAATGTATGGAGGGGGACCACGTTGGCTCTGAAGTGGGGAGAGTAACATGGCGGCGGACAAGTGGCGGAAAGCGGATGACCTTTTGCGCAAGGTTGCAGCGTCCACCGCAGGAGTTTGAAACACATTCCCACCGAAGTCCTATCGGAGATGCAAATGGGTGAGTTTTTTTAATGGAATGGTTTAAAAGCAAGCCGACCAAATTAGGGCCCCCTGTTATCAGACACACCCAAATCGTACAAGCAAACCGTAGAAGCATAGTAGCCCAGTGAAACGTTTGCCAGGTACTACCTGCTGTGGCTGGACGGCCACACCATCATTCAGACCTGCTTCTCTTGCTTGTACTTGCAGGAGCTATCTTCAGACATCTACAATACCCGCCCACCCCTTGCGGAAAAAGACAAACCAAAAACGCCCTCCCGCAACCGTTGAGGCCTTATGGAGCGATCTTCAGAAACCTACAACACCCCTCCCCAAAAGAAGACAGGCCCTCCCTCAAGCACCGAGCCGGTTTTGACACTCATTTTGAACCCAAGCTTAGGGAGGGGTCTTGGGTCCGTCAGGATCCATTTAGCTGCGATCTGGGAGTGGCTGATGGGCCGGATGGGGCTGTGGATCAAAACCAATTGTACCATTTTGGGGTAGGTGCACCACCCACTTTAGTCTATTTTAGGGGATCTCTCGGCAATTTTAATGGGAGGGGATCAGAGGTTTGACCTTAACAGATTGCAAGCCTCAAGTATCTGAATGCTTGTGTTCCCACATAGCTTAGAGCCTTTCATACCTGCAAGAGTCGTCTTGCTGCGAGGGTCCGAGGGCCCTACCTTGAGAAGGACATGGAATGAGCCTCATAAGCCATCCAACTGGTGGTTTCCTTTAAGGGGACTGGTTTTATTCCTGCCCTGCTGAGCACCAGCTACACTGGAAGTGGATTCGATTCGAGGACTTGCCGCGCCTGCTGGCGATTCCGGCCTTGGGAAGCTTTGTGGATGCTCCTGGGCAGCCTATGTTGGGTAAGACTTGAGGTTGGCGGAGATGAACATCCGGTTGGTTGCAAATGGTTGATTCTAGGGGTGCATGTTCTGTGATGCTGCGGACAGAATCTGCACGCACCACTGGATGGATGAATACCCGGAACCGAAAGGGAAGACCTTTTTGTCTTAGTGTTGCCCTCCGCGAAAGCTTCGCGACGTAGGTCACGCAAATGATTCTTCTCGCAACAATAATTAGTGTAAGGGTGGTTTGCCAAATTGCTTACGAAATGGTGAGCCATGTGTGGGACTGCCGTGGAAGACTCCACCTAGCAACAGGTGCCGGATTTCATCCATCCACACCGTTGACTGAGCAGTTGCACATGATCAAGGTGCCAGGAGCCTTGGTGCCAGGTGGGATCAATCATCCTATAGTTCCGTTTTGAGTGCCTGTCCCTCCTGGCTCGCAACCGCGCTTGTTTTTCTTGAGGGTTCCCACCCTTAGCTGAAAGGGAACCCGTGAAATGAAATGGAAAGGGAGCCCAAGATACATGTTGGAGGGTGTGCATTGCTCATTGAAGTTCGAGACATCCCAAAAGCAAACATGGAGCCTCTGGAAGTGCAGCTTTCTCTAACAGAGACCATTTTGTATCGGTCTCCTCCAAGCGACCAAGTTTTTTATGGTGACCACACACGAAGCAGATTCTGAACCTATTCTTTTTGTGTAACCACCCGTGGGCCAGGCACGCGAATTTCCTATGACCCTCTGCTCATGTTTTTTTTTTGGGGGGGGGGAGATCCCACAACGAGACCGAGCTGAGGCCTTCCTGATCGCCTGCCAGAGCGCTCGCGACGCCATCACCTGCGCAGGGGTCTACGATGACGAGGATCCATGAACGAGCGATCGTTCTTTGAAGCTGTGGGTCGAAAATAGATTTGGTAACCCCAAAATGGCTTGCCCTGGATGGACACATGGACGATTCAACCTGCGGTCTGGTGGTTTAATGTTTGACCCATGCCCAAGTGGAGAACCCCCCAAATAAGTATGTTGGAGTGTTGCCCTCTTTCCAACAGTCAAGTGGACAGGATGGTTTCGCAAGCGGTTTGTTTGGCAGTCTGATATGGAAGCTTATGGAAGCTTATGGAAGCTTATGGAAGCTTATGGAAGCTTATGGAAGCTTATGGAAGCTTATGGAAGCTTATGGAAGCTTATGCTCTTCAGCCGCCAGTGCCTCCATGAGAAAAGGCCTGGGGCGTCCACGTCCCATGGGGAAAGGCCGCGGCCCTCAATGGTTCTCCCTTAGCTTCGTGTACTTTGGGTTTCCACAACGCTCCGTGGATCTCTCATGCAGATGCCAACGAGAAAGGGCTTTGCCTGGAAGTCAAAGAGAAACGACTCCACCGTAAAAAGTAAAAAAAGAAGAAGTCGTCTCCCCCTGAGAGGCCGGAAAATCGTGCTGTATTTTAAATCCTCTGGTTCTCATTTACGGCCAAATCAGGCAGATTGAAGCCTCCGTCTTTAGAGTTTCCCTGTGATACCTCAAACTCGCCTGGACCTTCATTCGGTACATAAGTTTGTGCCCCTTGGGTGTTTCGTAGCAGAAATTTGCTAGTCGGGCGTTTTTCGGGGGAACGGGCACAAATTTGGATTCGAGCATTTTTGGCTATTGCGGCGGCTTCTCTCTTCTCATGTATATAGTCTGTTGCGTGGACACATGTGGAAACATACCCGCAAAACGGGCGCAAATACCCGCAAAACGAGCGCAACTACCCGCAAAACGAGCGCAAATCCAAAATATGTAACAATTAGTATTTTGCAAGAAACCCGTGTTCATGAGTAGCGGTTTTTTGGGGGAACGAGCACTTTTTGGATCATTGGGCAAAAATAGTTGCCCCGAGCATTTTTCTTTCGTGACACACATTTATGTAACAATGGAAGGTCCAGGCGGGTATCGCTTTTTGGATGGTTTCAAGGACGAAACGAAGCCCTTGCCACCTGGAGATGTGTGTCCAACGCTTTTTTTGTTGGCGCACCGCCTGTACCATTTCGGGTAACGCATGCAAACTCTCCTCATGGCCAAATTGGTTTGGACAACCACAGGTGGGTAGATGCAGAAGAGCATTAAGCAATCAGGGATTTCGCCTCTGCCACACTGCGATTCAAATAATGTTGAAACTCTAGCTTTAGCGCTTTTCGCGTCATGTGCCTGTCCTCACTGGAAAGCTTGCAAAACACCTAGAAAGTCACATGGCTGTGGGTCAAAACCAATGGTACCAATTTGGGGTAGGTGCACCACCCATTTTAGTCTATCTTAGTTGGGATTGAGATGTCCACTGGGGGTACGGCCTTTTGACCCACACCCACATCGCCCGGTGTACTGTTCAATTGACCCAACACATTGTTGTCCTATGCGCGCGCAGTCTGTTTTTGTTTTTTTTTGTTGACAGGTACGCGGAGGGCCAATACCAGACCTGTGAGATACAGATTCGCGGGTCTGCGTGTTTTCTGAGCGCAAATCTTGGCAATGGTCCGAAGTTGATATATTTTCATAAAGCCAAAGCCACCAAAACGATGGTGTTCCTTTTGGTTTCCCTTGAAAACCACCAAAACCGGGTGTCCCCAAAAAAAGGAACCACAGCCACCTACTTTCAGAATACCCCTCGTCAGCCTCTCCAGCCGACTCGCTGGCAGGACTTTATGCCCACCATGTTCGGCGTGGACTTGCAGGCGAGAGCGGAAATGAACCAAGGAGTCAGGCGATGGAAAACGGACAAGGGATCCCCCTCGAAACGTCCATTTGCTTAAGAATATGGGTTTCCCCTTGTTGGGTTTAAAGGGAATCTAGCACTACTGGAATATGTTGTTTTCTTTTTCTTTTTTCCAAGGGACTTAAGCAACTATAGACAAATGAGTGAGGCGATGAGTCATAAGAGACCTCAAACAAAACAAAAAACAGAAAGGTTTCACAACCCAGCTTTACAGAGTGCCTTGGCTTTTTCGGGGCGGGTTCCCTCTCAAAGCGTCCATGTGTGGAGGGCAGCATTCCGTGGCGACCGCTATGATGGAAGTACTTTTCTCACAACTGTTAAAGGGAAGGGATGCATCTGATTGCACACAGTTGTAAGTACCTCGCAACAGGAATGTGCGACATGACAAAGGTTCTTGTCGGGTTCCATGCCCTTAGTTGGTGGTTTGGATTGGTGAGAACTGGGGATATGAACTTTTGGTTCTTGTAGAGGGTAAATGGGAAACCAGCCTTAACTAATCCAACCCACCGGGCTCCAAACCACCAATTGGTGAGAAGCTGAAATTTAGTGACATAGTGGTTGTCCGAGTATGTCCAAATTGGTCTCGGCGTTTGGCCTGCAAGGGGTCTGAAAATCGAGGGTCAACATTGGCCAACGGATTTTGAATGATTCGCCAAGAACTGTGGGAAAGTGCCCAGAGAGGTCCAAGATTGGAATGGACCCACCAGGGTCTTGGTATAAAAGAAACTCGCGTCACTGACTACAGTGAGAGACAAAGTCATGCCAGTCTATGCAGTGATTTACGTCCCATGTCTTTTTTCAGACAACAAGTTTATTGACAGGCTGAATTGTCGAGCAATGCCACCCTGTGATGAAGATTGGGAGGTTGAGTTCTGCTAGTCAAAGCACAACTCCACAGGAGCCCGATGTTTGCAGAATGCCCTCTCTTGGCAGACGTGTTCTCTCAGTTGTGACTGCCGCCCTGATTTCTTGACAAAGGAAACCCTGCTCAGCCCAATCATGGTAGCATAGCAATGCTACTGTCTAAGCGTCAGCAGGCTTCTTGAACCGTGCGAATCGTTGTATCAGGACAGGTATTGTGTCCTATGGATCGTGATGGTTTTCAGGGCTCCAAAACAGCCCCATGTGATGCCTTCAAGGGATTTCGCGGTGTGGTACCGGAAGCCCAGGATCTTCTATACCAAGCCCCATAACCCTTGGTAAACACATTGTCATCTGTTTGGCATGCAAGCGCATTATATACTCACTTCCTGAGCTCCTGAACTTTATATGCTTTGTTGCAAGACCAGTTTAGTGGCAAACCAAAGTTTGGGCTGTTTTGGGGCTATCCACATCTGAGCATGTGAGTGCATGGAATGCCGGAAAGCTGCGCGAAAGATTTGCCCCGAGCTTCAGGCGTGCGTGTTCAGCAGCGATTGGCAGAAGGCCGGGTCTTGCACTTGGACTCCAGGTGATGTCCCCCCAGGATAGTACACCCCAAGCTCCTGAAAAATGATGCCCTTTGTTGACTATAGATTATATACATATATACATGTATGCTCTTTTATCATAGCGCAGGGGAAAAGAGCGCAGGGGAAAAGCCCAGGTTGTTTGCAGTCATTATCCTTTGCATTTTCAAAGAGAAGGGTTCAAACGCGGCAAGAATCGATCTCTAGTAAACGTCTTGCTGGTAACCTAACTGGTAGGCATGTTTATTGTGCAGAGATGAGCTCGTACACCAACCTTCATTCGTAGAAGCTCAGCGTTCTGGAAACCAGTGCGTCTGCACATCGGGGGGAGCAGCCAAAGCACTGCTGCTATCCTTGCACCACTTGGTGCAGGGTTGGAGCAGTTCATAGCAGGGCGGGTGGCAGCACAGGACATTCTGGCGTGAGTAGTGATGAATCGGCCTTGGTACAGGAACATGGTCACAATTTTCGAGATTAACTGTTGGACATAAGCATAGCCGCAGACAGTGATCAGGATGAGGCTTGGCACAGCGATGCTTTTTCCGCGCGTAGGTTTTTGGCCCGCCGTTCGTCGGTCCCTATCTGACTCCGCTTGGCTCAAAGGTCCTGGCGAAGCCTTGAGGTTTCCCAGCGTGCCAAGCTTCGAGGTTCCCCGGGTTCCGCGTACAGGTCCTTTGAAAAAAAGTTTGGCTTATGCAAGGTGGCAAAGTGACTTGAACAAGGCCCAAAAGGGTCCCCTTTGAAAAAAATAGAAAAGCAAGACTGAGATTGTTGCGCAATACTTCCGGAGAGATATTCAGGCCCCATATATCCCCTAGACATGATTCACGACTGGACGGCCCTGCACGCAGGCCAATGAGAAGTTGAAGTCAGAACAAGACAGGCGCGGACTTCGAAGCTGAAAGAGCAAGAGATGCTTGGAACAAGACGTGGTCCTCCAGCTAGGTGCCCTTTTACCGTTCCTTTTTTGGGGGAGGTTTCCCCTACCCCTACTAAAATAGACAGCAGAAGAAAAAAATCGGGTAATTACCCTTATTCTAACCTCTCTACTGGAGGACCTAGAAGAGCCTTTCGACTTGTGCAAGGGTCTTCATGGCTTTGGCAATGTCCAGCATCTTCTGACAGAGGTTCTGCTGTAAGCAACATCATGCTGGTTGGGCCACAAGCTCCCTTTCAAACCATACAAAAAAGGGGGTTTCTTCAGACAATTCAGAAACGGGTCCTGGTTGTGATGCATGCGCCTTGTGCCACCTTGGACTCTTGTTGCTTGTGGATTGCTTGCCGTGCATAGCCAGCTGGTCCGAGGCTAGTAGCAGAGGGCTGTGAAGCAGCAGCCCTGCAACCCGGTGAGTCGCGCCGGCTTTGTCGTGTCCGCACGGTGTGACGCTTAAGTACCCGTCCAGTCTGCAAAGCCGATTGCCAACTCTTTTGACCATCTTTTTGCTGGTCTTAAGCATCTTTTGCTGGTCTTAAGCATCACTTTTGTTGAAAGGGAAGATATGGACTTATTGTTTTTCACACTGGGACTCTCCTGCAACTGCCGCGCAGTCATTGCAGTTTTCGTCGCCCTTTCGGCGGTGGATGACACGTGTCATTTTCCAACGCTTTGAAGGCAGCCCACAGGAACACACGTCAACACGCAGCCTATGGCGAGCTCACCGATTGGGGGAAAGCGAGATCATGATGAGGTCCGTTTGGAGATGCAACTGTTATTTCAGGTTTTGGACGTGGCAAAGCAATGCCGAGCATTTCGTTGTTTGGGTCCAGTTTGCCAGATTCGTCAAGTTGCTCGCAAGGTAGCCTTGGTTGGTCTTAGCACTCGGACGGAACACCTGAATCCTTTGGCATATTCTCAGAATGGTTGTGAACCCAATTTGCTTAAGAATATTTTTCTTTTCCCCTGTTGGTTTTAAAGGGAATCTATCACTACTGGACATATTTTCATTTTTCCAGGGGGCCAAAACGCAAATAAAAGTTGTCCGTGTGTGTGTGTGTGTGCTGTCGGACCAGCTTCGGTGGATTGGTTTAGTGGGGACGTCCGATTCTGATACCGGGGATTCAGCCCGCTTTTGGAGGGGGCACCCCCCATATTTGCAAGCAGGGGTTATCAATCACGCAAAAAACAAACAAACAAACAAACGGCAAATCAAGGAAATCCCACACGATAGCCCAAGCTCTGGTGTGGATGTGATTTGGAATGACTTCCCGTTGGATTTCTCGGATTCGCTGGTTGAATTGAACGGGAAGGACATGCTTACCTTCACCTACCTTGCTGAACCTCTAAAAACTGCGCAGCGTGAATTGGCTGCGCCTGGAAGTCAAAGGAGATCAACATGTCTAGGCGATCAAGTCCTGTTCTGCGAAACACCTAAAGGCTTCTCAACGCACCATTGTCCTAGCACCAGTCCACAGGGTTACGTCCGTTTTGGTGGCAGATCCAGCTGTGTTCATTTGGTCCCCAACGGGTTCACCCCCTTCAGGGTTGGTTCCCTATATCTCCCCTTTTGCGGCTTCAAGCATCGCTTTTTGGGCCAAAAGTGAGATTCCTCTTGATGGGTGCTTCAGGATTATATTACATAATATATATATATATACACATACATATTTATATGGTGGGAAGGGCCCCCGGGAGACCATACCATGGGTGCGGGCGAACACGGGCCATCGTTACATATATATATACATATTGCATATGTATATATATATATATAACCCTGGCCTTTTGAAGCTGAGTGCTTTGGCTTGAAAGGCCCCTTCCAAGAGCAATTTCTCTTTGGACGGCCCGAGGCTCTCCGCTTGAATTTTATGGGCAAGTACATGTCGGCCCTGGCGAGGACCTCGTTTGGGTGGGGTGGGGGGAGTAGGGGGTGGGGGGCCCGGTGGGGGGTGCATAGATCTTGCATTGCTTCCATTTGCTAAAAGGAATGTTCTGTTTTTTTCTTTCCCCTTGTTGGTTTGAAAGGGAATCTATCACTACTGGAAATATTTTCCCCAACAGCTGAAAGCTTTGGGGTCTCAGCCCAGATAGGCTCTGGGGTGGGCCGGGTCGTCCCTGAGGTAAGGTTTCCACGAGGGTTCCACCAGGGTTCCACAAGGGTTCCACGAGGTTCTGCGAGGGCTGCGGGCTGGTGCGAGGACTAAAAGCAGCACCGCATGCTGTTGGGGATATCACCTGAGCTTATTGTTTTTTTTTTTCTCCAGGGGGCGTTAGCAAATGGAAGATTGGACCTGTTTTTTGTTTCTTCCTTTTTTGCCCCTTTTTTTTCCCCCGGTTTTTCAAAAGTACTTGGGCCTTTTCTCAAACAAAAGTTTCATTTCAACACCCCCACTCATGTATAATTGAATATTACAACAGGGTCTAGCTCTAATCATGCAAGCCGCGCCTTTGACCTTCTCATTTTTGGGCCACACGAGTCATTTCTTGTGTGGCTTACCCTTCAACCCAAAAAGCATGCCCTTTATTCTTTGGGCCCTGGCGCTGCTGATCCACTAAGCCCCCAGGCTCAACCTCTGGCGTATCGCTCGTTGCGCGACGGGATCGATGATTTCGTGAGCCCGATGGCATGTAAACCATGATCAACCGGTCCTCAACAGGGTTGGTGGATGGTCATCAAAGGGTTTCGGAGAACCAATGTAAAGGCTTCCCCAAAGAACCATGGCCAAACTCCCTGAGTCTTGGAGTTTGACCTCGCACCTGCGGGAAGTTGGCAGAGTGTGATCCACAGAAGTTGATCGAAGGTGCAGGACGAATTGAGGAGCTTCATCGGTGATTGGCGCTGCAAGAACACCTGAGAGTCCATCCCAGAGATACTATGTTACAATGTTACGGCTTGAACACGGGCGCATTTGACTGAAGTGCTTTGCTCCAGGATGGCATTGTGTGTTGGGAGTGCAAGCAGTCCTCGTTGAGAAGCAGGGTTGGTCCAGAAGGTACTGTTCTTGGTTGCTTTTTGGTTGGACTTTAAAAGGGTTCCCTATAGTTGCAGTATTGACATAATATGTTGGGCCCAATTTAAAGTCGGGTTCCTTTTTGTGGGGCGATGTTTGTAAGGTACCCTGCTTTTGCCTATTTACATGTTGGACAGTGGGTGTCAGTTCGACTGAGTGCAGTGCGTTGTGCCAGCAGAGTAAGCCAGGTGGTTTCTTCCTGCTGATGTTCTTTCACTTGGTGAAGTGTGTGTCCCGAAAGCATGTGGCATGTGTTGTAGACTCGGGCATTTGAAGAACGTCATATCTCCCACATGATCCACGTGCGAGTTCGTTGTGAGTGCTAGTGCTCTAGCGATCCGCGCGCCTTCTTTAGCGTCTATCCTGCTACACATGCGCAAGTTGCGCATGTGCTTCCCTTTTGGAATCTTGCAGCTTGCAAGTTACGGGACACATCTGCGACGAACAATGTACAATTTGAGCTTGCCAGACAAAAAGAAGCATCACGCTGCCAACCTGGCACGTGGAATGCAACATAAGTATGTGGCTGGGGAGCTTGTTTTCCCACTCCAATTTGCTTGAACCCGATTGATATTTCTTGTTGGATCCAGGACACCCAGTGGCTACAAGCAAAGGCTTGGGCGCCCTTGAAATGTGGAAACTCACAGTCCCAACAGTCATTCTAAAACCCAGCCCAACACATTCAGTTGGGATGTCTTTCTTTGAAGGCTTCCTTTTCTTGGGTCTAGAGAAGTTCCATTTCCTCGGAGACAAACCTACTTGCGTGAACCCGGAGGCAAATCTACTTAGCATGAACGTAACTTACCCCACTTACTGCTCTCACGCAAACGTCTACTTAGCATGGTGAACATAACTTACCCCTCCCCCTCCCCCCCGCCGCAAACAAACGAGTGAACTTCGTCCTGACTCCTGACGCACCAATCACCGGCCGCACGGGCCATGGGAGCGTCTTTTGTCGCGCGTGTCACCCAGGTCTCCCTCATGGCACGCGCCTTTGCCTCAGGACGATGTGTCTTGGTTTGGTGCGCATCCGAGGATTTCTCATTTCATGGGCTGGTTGGTAGTTAAAGGGAAACCAACAGGAACACCATCCTTTAAACCACCGTTAAATACCAACAGGTTCTGATTCGTTTCATGGGCCCGCTGGTTGTTCAAAGGGTTGGGCAAAAAAGGACATGCTACAAAACAGCTTAGGTAGGGTGTTTTGGGGCCATTTCCGGTAGATGTTTCTGTAGCCAAACCCTTTGGTTGGTATTTAAAGGGAAGCCAAGAGGAAACTAACCCAAAGCTCGGTGGGCCCTTGGATGTTTCACGACTTTTGTGAGGTTCCTTGTGGGTTGAAATCAAACAGACAACCACCAGCCAGTTCGGGCTGGGCTGGTTGTTTTAGAATTCGGTTGGTTGGGGTTCCAAAGCATGGACCTATACCTTCAGTTCTTCCTTTTGGATGACCCTCTTATTTGCCGGAGAGCTTCTCTCAGATTCCATGGAAGCTGCCAGGAGAAGTGCCCTCTGTAAAGGGAACCTGGCAATTTTCATGGAATCGCCTGATGGTGATGCGCGTGTGCCTTTTTAGGGGACCTTCAGAATGGGTTGCTTCCCCTTTCGTTTTCCTTTAAAACCACCAAACAACGGGGTAACCTCAAAAAAAGGCACAGATTGACCCGGGTTAATCAAGGCAAATGATGGCGCCCTCACAAAGTGCGAACCCACCTGAGAAGGTTCCTTTAAACCAGCAGTTGTCCGAAGCAGATCGACCTGACAGGACCTGAAATGATTTTCCCATGGTCCACTTTTAGTAAAGGTCCCAAATTGTTAGCCCTTTATTTCTGGGTCCAAAACTTGGTAGATGAAGGAACCCTGATTGGCTGAAGTTCTTCAGATTCTTCACGCAGCGTTCTATCGCCTGACGAAATTCCCAACGGTTTTGCTGGCTTCTGTGATCCTAACTGCCCTTAGCACAGACGAAGGGATAGGATTTTGAACCTGTGGCGATGGCATGGTGGTGTTTTCCACCATCCGCACCGCAAGTCGATTCTTGGGTTCTGCAAGGACCTTTTGTTTATTTCGGACCTCTAAAAATGGGCTGTCCATATGGCTGTGGCTCAAAAAACTGGTACCAAAATGAAACCCGGATAAGTGGAAACATGGACCAAAACCTGCGGTTTGCCCCTCCTGTTTAATTTTGAGCCACACCCATATCCCGTTTTGGGGCACTTTTTTTTGACATCGCCTTGGCAGGTGAGCTTTCCTAGTGCTTCAAGGGGCAAAGGGGAACTGGGTGTCGCCTTGCCCCTTGGGCACTTGATGGCGCGCTGAAACAAACGTTGTGAAAGGCACCACAGGCATATATATATATATATGTCCTAGTAGTCGCCTTGTGTCAAACCTCGTTTGTGACTATCATTCCAACTCTGACTATGTTTGCAAGCGCTCACAAGGCCAGCCGCAAGCCACGTATTTAGCAATGGATCACGAGCCAACCACAGCAAGCCACCAGACATGGTTTGTCACTTAGCCTTTCTTGGAACACATGTTCCATGAAGCAGGTTGATCATAAGACCAAGCAGGAGTGAAACTTTATGACATAAGATAGTTGAAACCTTCTGAACTGCAATCTCTTTGCCATCTATCCCGTTTTTCCAGGGGTGTTGCTTGCAATTTCGCTTTTATGAGGTCCCGAATGTTGCTTCGGCCAAGGCGCTGGCTGGGCTTTGGGATGTGGGTGAACAACTGCACCAGTTGGTGTCAGGTAGCCCTTTAGGGTAAATGGGAAACATGGATGGACAACATACTGCGTTGGTAGGCAGGTTTTTTGCTGGTGCCATGGGTAGGTAGGGAATGACCGAGTCCCGGTGTTGAGAATGAGCCGTTCGGGCTTTCGAATCACAGAAACACATCGGGGATGGTTCATGGGTGTCATTTCATTTCTCTTGGTGGCTCCCAGCCATCCCCTTAGCTTTTTAGCCTTTTGGTGTTTAGTGGTAGTTTCCATTCAACCCACTAAGAGTTAGTCACTTTTAGGGGGGGTTCCGAAAACGGGCAGCCCAGTTCTCATTTCCTGCTGAGATCCAGCAATATAGGTAGCTTCCCCAGTTCATGGAGGAAGGTCCCTCGTTGGGAACTCCCTATTTCCGGTTTGTGAGTTATAGTAATACGCCCAGATGCAATATGAAACTGTGTGGGAAGCAGCACGTTGTCGCGCCTGAGCCAATCCATTCACTAGGCCAATTAGTTGTTCGATGCACTGTCCACCCAAGGCATCATTTTCAGTGAGCATCGCTGCTTTCCATTGACATGCTACAGTGCTACAGGCACACGCGCACACGCCACACAAGCCACACACACACACACAGGGCACCCACACACGCCCACACACCGAGGCTGTGTGTTTATGCAGATAGGGGATCCGCACTCATAGTTCTCGTCAGGCACATTTCCGGATAAAACCGTGTTATTTTGAACCATTCTAGTTGATTGTGGCCTGCTAGTTGACACACACATATATATATATATATATATCCCAGAGGCTCCTGGGGCTTTGAATGGAAAACCCGGCCCTCCATTAGACACCCCGGAGGTGGTTGGGGGTCTCCAAACCTGGTTGGTGGTTTGTGGCCTGCTAGTTGCTTAAGAATATATACTGGGCTGCCCTCAGATCCCCCGCTAAAAGACCAACTTTTAGTGGGTCAAATGGAAACTACCGCTAAACACTAAAAGGCTAAAAAGCTACGGGGATGGCTGGGAGCCACCAGTATATATATATATATATATGTTATGGTCCGTTGTTGGTTTTTAAGGGCACCTATCGCTACTGGACATATTTTGTTTCAGGGAGCTTGAGCAAATGGAAGTGGTGTACTAAAACTCAATTACCGGCTGAGCCATGTGTTCAATTTACACATGATACAAAAGCAGCCAAGCAAACGTCTCCCTAATCATCCCCCTACTGCAAGCGAATTCACTTTATGTTTGCCTAATGTGCTTAAACGGAGAAAACAAAACGGGGCAATACAACGAGCCCTATGGTTTGGCGCACACACACACACATACCTGCAGTCAGTTCCAAAGGCGCCCGTGTCGGCTGGTGTTTTACCTTGGGAGAAGCCACCAAATGGGGTGGTGTCCTTTTGGTTTGCCTAAGCCACCAACCAAAAAGGGAAAACCAACTCCAAGTCTGTCGTTTTGCGAATAAAACCCGGTTGCGTTTCCCGGGCACATTTGTTTGTTCGCTGCGGAGGCCCGCCAAACTGAACACGTGCTTGCCACGATATTTGGCCACATTGTGGACTGCTCCATAATACTAGTACCCAGTTGGTGTATTCCCAGGGTGTAATACAAAATCTAGGGGTTGATTCCCCATTCTTTCCAACCATCGTTCTTTCCAAGAAATGGATCCGTTTTCCCTGGGTTGCCGGAGGTTAGAAAGATTCGGATCCCTGGAAATGGGAAAAGTATCCCTAGAAACACGTCCCATTATTTGGGGGGGGGTTCCCTCCAAAAGTGATGAATCCCCACTAAAAGGGGACACCCCCTATTAATCAACCAGGGGTTTATTAATCCGGGGTCAACATTAATACAAACACCAGAAGAAAAAAACACCACGCCGGCCGTTCCCTGCCGAGTTCTCGTGGCGATCGGATCGCAGGCGCACTTGGCCAAGTGTTCCCAGCTGCTCCCGAGGCCCAAACGCGCGTTGCACGGTATCAGTCGCCTCGATGTGGCGCTGCTTTTTTGGGGGGGTGGTAAGGGGAAAACAGGGAAACCGCGACTCTTTTTGTTTTCGTTTTTGTTTGTTTTTTTGGGGGGGAAACTAACAAGAGCGCTTCCTTTGTCCCTTTATTTTTTGAGCTGTATTTGTTTTTGGTGGTCCTAAAAATGACACGCCCATGTTGAGTGGAAGGGGATATAGGAGCCTTGCAGCCTCGTTGCATGCTCCTGCAAGGATCTCACATCGCAATTTTGCAATGTATGGGTTTTCCCTCAAATGGTGTAATGTTTCGTAAGAAGATCGGTACCTCCTCTTGCGGAGGTACCTTGACTTCCCTGTGGTTTCCCTTAGGGTATCTCCGTGGGCATAGAAATGGAGCGAATTGAGCGTGAGTTGCGCCAGTTGGATCCTATTTCCGGATCGCCGCTTGATTGGGACCGTTGCATAGGCAAATGCCGTGCGTCACAATGCTAGGCGGCTTTGAAGTAGTTTGAAGGTCTATGGTCTTCGAGGCCACCACACGATCAGAGCGGCCTTTGTGACGTGCATGTCCAGGACGTGAAGACCTGCAAGTTCATAGTTGCCGCGTGATCCCACATGTTGTCTTTGTTCCTCGTGCTCGAATTGTGACAAGTACTGTTTGGCCTTCTTGCAAACAGTCATGGATACATGACGAAGCTTGCAAAGCAAATTTGTCAATCGACACCTCGAAAGCAATTCAAGCCTTTGCCGTAGATTCTGCTGATTTCTCCGGCTAGCACTCCACTGCGCTATCATTGTCCTGGCATAGGCATCTAGGCCACCTCAGTCAAGAATCGATGGCGCCGGTGTTCGTTTGACAATCGTGTCTCATTAGAAGGATCTAAGATCCGAATTGTTGCAGGACGTGCCCCCAATCGAGAGTCTTTGAAAAGGGAATGCACCAAGCCATATTTTCGTACCGTCCAGGTTCCAACCCAAGTTCAATGAATGCACCAAGCCATTTATTGGCGTTTATATATATATATATATACAGTATATATGTCACTTTGGTGTTTTACCCTTCCCACTAACATAGCAGCTGTGGGGCACTGCAAGATCATGTTCTTCAAGGGAACCTCTGTAAGGTGCCATGGACTCACTCAACTGTGTTCAATCGAAGCAAATGTTAATGGCTTTTTGGCCGGTGGAGCCTTGGTGTTCTACATTGTTCTACCTTTACTAAAAAAACATATTTCTGGCAACCTCTGCCATGGCATGTCTTGGCAACTGTTCTATTTGGCCTCATTATTTTACCATGATCAAAGTCACCCTCCAAGTGGTGGGTTTAAGGGAAACAACCACATCTCTGACTTTGACCCCCAGACACCGTCCAAAATCATGACCCCAGCTGGCCGGATGTGGACCGGGAAGGTACCGCTCCCGCGCCTCGCTCCCCGCCCAGCGAGCACCGAGCACCGCAGCGCAGGCTGGCGGCCAGCGCAACGGAGCCCAGCGACGCGGTGAAGCAGCGCTTCGACGCCTCCTCCCAGAGGCGCCCCGCGCGCGTCTCGGGCGCGCCTCGGGCGCGGGGCGCGGCGTCTGGGGCGCGGAGCAAGTGGTCCCCCAGCAAGTGGTGCGTTTTTGTTTGACCGTTTCTTTTTTGGGGAGGGTTCGGGACCCTACCAAAATAGACAAAAGAGAAACAAGTTGGTACCAACTTAGTCTAACCTCAAACTACTGGAGGACCTAGGCGGGGCGGCGCTTCCTTTGCGTGGGCGGCGCGTTTTTGGGTCGTTGTTTCGGTGAGATACATTTTTTCCCAGTGAGACTTAGACTTTGAAGCAAGAAGCAAGTATACATTCTAAAGCTGGGAGCTCTAGTCTAGTCATGTTGGTGATTAGTTTGCATTGGTGGGGATTTGAAGCCCAGATGTTTAAATGTTGCATGGCTAGAGTTGTATTGCTGCAAAAATGCCACAAACCTTGCTCTCTATCCTTTTGCCACCTAAGCCCATTCCTTTCCAACTGGGAAGCGTGTTTCCCATGTGGGGCAGCGTAGTCTGTGGTGTAGGCCTTCGGAGGCAAGGAAAGCGCCCATGCCTGTGGCGCACAATGTTATACACGCAGTTTGATTTTGCAAGAAATCAACGACCCGCAAAATAAGTATGAGCAACGGCCATTTGACCATGAGGCATACAGCCTATGACTCGCTTTTGGGGTGGATGAACATCCATTTGCCACCTATTTTGAGAACGAGGCCACTGTAGTCGAGGAAATGACATTTGGTACACTCAAAAAAAGCCAACAGGAAACGGAGGTTGCCCATCAATGTCCCATCTCATTGGGGGAGAATACGATGAATATTAACCAAGGCTCAAACGCAACAGGGACTCCAAAAGTACTCCAACAGCCATGCCAGCAAAAGATCGGAGCTCCGCTACTTGCAGGCAAAGAAGGGGACTGTGCAATGAAACCCATTGCCAGTTGGCAGTGTCCGTCGCTCTTGCGTGAAAGCCAGGCACCGCTGAATGCTCGTCAAGATTTGATGAAACACATATAACTATATATATATATATAGATTGCATTTGCTGAAAAGAAGATGCGTTCTTTCTCTGTTGGTTTTAAAAGGAATCTGTGACTACAGGACATATTTGCTCATTTTTCCCATGGGACTTGCGCAAATGGAAGAGATCCTGATCCGGTCAGACGACTTCGGAGACATTTTGCAAGAGCTCCGCAAAACCTCGGCCCAGCGTGTCCCCAAAAATACGTTGCGCAGAGCCCCGCTGCTTGAGAACGACTTTGCGGAACCTGGAACCCTCTTTGCTCGGTTGGGTTTGCGGAAGGGTATGCGTGCGCCACCAACCGGTTTGGTCTCAGTGTGAAAAGTGAGCCCGCCCTGTGATGGACCTTGTGGACCCTGTGATGGACCTTGTAGGTAAAGCAACCACTCTATCTCCTCCAAAAAGACCGCCCGAATGTCCACTTTGTGCTAGGGGATGTTCGAATCGGTGCTGGCCCGGAAATAAGCCAGGTGGTATCCCCAGCAGCCCCGGCACCCCAAAAACCGAATCTGCGCAACCCTCCCTGAAAGCTGCCCCAAGCCGCCCCTTGCCTATTGACCCCATAGCTTTCAGCCGGGGCAACAGATTGTGCATTAATGAGTCCAGGTTTGCAATCTGTCCGAGCAGAAACAACACAAAAGCAAGCTTGCAAGGCAATTGGTGTGTCCACTTCATTCCAGGCTTTGGAATCTGTCCTGGCCCGGGAAAAACAAAAAAACAGTATGAAAGGCATGGAT